ACAGTTAGGATATGGGTATTTCGTGCCCATTAAGATCCATCTCTGTTTTCCTCTTCCCTTTATTGTTTTTGAATTGTCTTGAAAATATAACTGTTATACTAACGCGAGCGAATAGTCCACCGGGCGTCTTCCATTATGCGCAAAACTGTAAATTTCTCAATCCCGGTAATGAATAATGCCTCGAATACGACATTTTTTCCCATATCTGTTCTATTGATTATTTCTCGGTATGCTTAGGGAATGATTACATGAGGATTTTTTTAACAGCAGCCTTTCAGTGATGGGATGCAGCCAGCCGGTGTTTAGGGATTGCCGGCGTCTATGGGAAGGCATCTACAGTACTGCTCCTGAAGTCTTCATGCATCAATTTTGCAAAGAGGGCCTTCGGTGATGGATCCGGGGGCTAGGGGGGGGGGGGGGGTTCTTTAAGGTCTTAGTACATTAAGCAAAAATAGCGGGGAAAAGAAGAGTGAATTATTAAAGATTTTAGGATAAGCAATAATCCTATTTCTGCGAATTTGAATCCGCCATGCCTAAGCCCTATAGAACACTACCGTACAACACTGCTTTGCACTGGGCACGATTCAGTGAAGGAGCCGCTAGTGAACCTTGCTTCCGAACCTGACACCTATGGTAGAGCCAGCTCTCTACCATGGTGCACTGTCAATCCCGTCCCCACTTACTTCCGCACCTGTATGTCAGCTGGTGGCACAAAATCAAACCCAGAAAAACGCCTCCTAAATAGTTCACAATTCCTTTCTCCCTGGACTGCTGAGACATTGGAAAATTTTGTCCCACCCCTGTCAATGTCTAAGACACAGCCTTACAAGCACAATTTGTTAGTTACCACAAATTCGCAGACGTGCAAACTTCAGACCATAGCTAATATTAGCCATGTGATTGTTATGTGCCTACACCTACCATCGCTCGAAAATACAGAGTGGATGTATGATATTAATCAGCTTTGTCTTAGACACTGACAAGGGGGGCACAAAATTTTCCACAGTCTCAGCAGTCCAGGAGATAGGGAATCGCCGAATGGCTGCCCGAAAACATCTGGAACATTTTTAGGTCACGGCCGGCCACATCTCTCCGAGCACACCCAGAGACAGGATCACAAAAACGACCGGTCACATTCCGAGATGTCAGGTTAACCACCGGTAATCGTGTTTGTTATTACTAATGACTGAAATTTCTAAACTCTTATTTGTGAGAGGTCATCCATTGTTTAATCCAATTTTTAAGGTTCATGTCATTAGTAGTGCCGGACAATAAGGAAAATGGGTGGGAGTTTACGTAGGGGAAAGCTTGGCTGATTTTTGGCTGACAAACATACCGTAGAAGTAGAAGAATTGCGAGCCACATTCACTAGATCTACTCCTCACTTGGGGAACTGGGTGCCGGTCCCAGCCCATAAGTGCTTATCCTGGAATACAGGGGGGCGTACAAGTGCCGTATCAACGCAATTTAACCTGGATTCTCTATGACTCAGAGAAATCCCGATTGCGGGGGCGGAACGTGGTACAAGTAAGTTCTGGTGCATCGTGAACTCGAAAAAACTCGCCGTGCACTTGTAGGGATCTCGACCATTTGAGCCGTGCACTAGTGACCAAAAGAAGGGACTACGACAACAGTTGCTAAACCCCGTTCAGAGGAAAAACCCTCTCAGCGCACAGCACTCGGGAGACTGACCCGGGAGTGGGCGTACTGTAGAAAATACAGTATTCCAGCGTACCTACTTACTCGAGTAGAGTACTACGCTCCACAATCATGCTCTGTGTGGTTGGTCTGCATCTAAGGCCATGCGAGAAGAGGTTTGGCTGCACGGGCTTTTTTTTTCAGGTTTACCCCATGGGGTAGCGAGACATGCATTTTACGGACCCTCTTCTGTCTGCGCAGAGTTCAAGCACGGAACGGGGGTCTTATCCAATTGTGGTAGTGTGCAAGCGATGTTTTTGTGACGCAGCCGGTGGATCAGGGTGGTACAATAAAGTCGCGAACGGGCCAGTGTTTTTCACAGGTTAACCGCGATATTATTTCCTTCAAGGGAGGTCGTGGCACTCGCTGCCTTGTAGTTCCTATCAAATTCCGGCCCGTTTTTTATGCATTCGGGGTGGGAAAAAATAAGTGATCCAGTAACGGCTTAACTAATGTCCCCATGGATGTAAATGTTCAAAATGCTCGCCGTCCCGAGAGTAACCCCATAAATCCTGGTACAACTTCCTACCGATAGCAGGGAAGAATTAAACTGGAGCATAAACATTTTATTCTTTTAGTTATAGGTTAACTTTGACAAATGTAGTTAATAATATTCAGTTAATTCGTCCTTTTTGGCGCATTTGCTTGCCTCATAGTAATCCTAACAGCCAATAAGGGGACGCAAGGACACCTTTCTTAAACCCACCTCAAAGTTAATACGGTATTCCTAGTACTCCTTTCTACGTTTTGAGTCCCCAGCTTATCTTATTTAGAATAAAGAGAAAACAAAAAAACAAAAATAGTGGTTGGGGAGCTGCCGGTATAGCAATTTGATGCTGGGCATTTTTTTTATGGGTTCAAAGAGTTCAAGTTAATGAATTTCCCCATCACAGGCTTCAACTGTGCCAAGATTTCCGGATGCTTATGGTACCGGTATGATACCTAAATTTAGAGAGATACAATAACAGTATCATACCGGTAACCCACTCCCTCACGTAGGCAACCCATGCACCGGTTGCCCAAGAATCGTTGAGTGCCGTGGTCTATGTTTCACCCATATGCAGCATCGTGAAATATCACTTACACAAAAACATGAACTTGATATATATCCCCACTGTAGCGACGTCAAGTATCTCTGAGTACTCGATGCTGGATGCTGGAACCCAATACAGTGAGTAGGAAACCTGTGCTAAATACCGGTAGCTGTTTCACAATAAGTTGGATGGATCGCAGTGCTCGGCCCAGACGAAACAGGAAGTTCTGGAAAAATGCGGGTCCCACTCCCACTGGACACGCGTTTTCCCAATAACCACACCCGGGAGGGAATCGCTTTCCGGAGCATGTGCATGTCCTTAACTACCGTTGTGATACATGCGCTACACAGCAGACCGATAAGCCTTGCGGACTACCGGTACTCGCGAGCGCCCAGACACAGAAATCGGTCAGCAGGCCAATCATGTAAAAGGATATTCAATATCTTCGCTCTCCGGTCGGCTAGCGAATGACTAAAATCGCCTATCCGAGTGAGCAGAGGGTTCCAGTGGGAGGGGACCTCCATCTACCTCCTATGGCATCCAGAGCTACGAAGCTTGGAGTAGTTTAGTGCAGTATGAGTAGAGGTTTTCAACAACGTTAGGAAAAAAGGCGGGAGGGGGCTTTTTCCCTTCTACTCACCAGTGGTGAAGGCAGGGGTGACAGCAAAATAAACATCTCGGCCAAAATGTGAACAATACTTGAGACGAAGAGCTAAAAAAAGGTAGGCATTGGTTGGGTGTACATATAGAAAGTATGTATTTAGAGAGAACTCCCTGGAAGTGTTGATAAGGTATTCCCGATGTCTGTGATCTATGTGTTCCAGGCACCCGTTCACAGGGGAGGTTTAGGTGAGTACTTTAGTCTTGCACTTGTAAATTATCATACCCGGAGGATTTTGGACGCCAATGGTGAAGTTCCCACTACCACCCATCTCTGTTGTCTGGAGCACTCATTTTGTGCTTTTGTGCAAGGTATTATTATTTTTTGTTCATTCATTGTGCCCGTATGCGCCATGCAGTCGAGGTCGATCCCACATAGGCAGCAGACGAGTGATGCGAGGCTGGAATTTCTATTCTTCGTTCCTTCGCTTCCTATTATTTACAGCACAGGCTCACCCATACCCCCGTGTCCTGGTACTGTGCTCGCACCTCGCTATTAGGACGACCGGGGTCAAAAGAATCCGTCCGATACAAAGAGTGATCCGGGGCAACCGGTCATAGGCTTTTTTTTTGAAACCACAGCATTTCATACGGTACAGGGAGGTTCGACTGCACTTTTCCGTCCCTCCTCTCTTCCGCCTTATTCTGGCCGGGGCATCGCCCTGGTGATGAATCCCCAGACATGCAGATTCCCCGACTTCCTGTGGGTAACTCCATGCTATGCCTAAGTGACTCCCTACCTGACCTTGGTGAGGCAAGATCACTACGGTAGGTAACGTCCGGATTAGGAAGGCAGCCAATCTGCATGTCTCATCAGTCCACGGGATATGACCGAGCTGAGGGAGAAATCCTGTGGTACCCGCGGCTCATAAAGGAGTTGTCTCTATTAGTGTTTTGATGACTTATGTCCCAAATACCCCCATTGAATTACGCAAATCAGTCCTCCCTTCATATTTCCCATCTACATTTTTGAATGATTACACTCCACCCTATCGGCTTGCCCAGTATCTATTAGCCGATCGCGCTGCGCATGTAATACAAGTAATTTATTGCCAGTAAAAAGCAAGCTGGGGTGTGGTAGTGCGAGCAACCCCCTTAAAATATCAAAGCTCCAGAGATGCAAGATCTTAACCACCTAAACCTCTTGAGTCCCGCACCAAAACTTTGACACCGAACCTACTACCGGTACTCCTACGAAATAGGCTGGCGACGAACAATGGCTAAGGAACAATCGGACCAAGTTGAGCGGTATAGACTCGAGACACAATTCCACGGCAATTATATCCGCCACACAAAGCATTCAGGGGGTCATTGGGGCGTGGGGGAGAAAGTGAAGGAGGATTGGAGGAATTGTGGGGAGCTTGGGCGTGGAGGCTCCAGTGTTGTTGACAAACAGCGTGAAATCTGCTCAGGTCGCTATCGTGCTGTAAAGGCAATCGATAAGAGGAGGCTGCCTCCTGGGATCGATTATTCTAGGGAACTTAGAGTAATGGTTGATTTGGCGAAGGTTCGTATCCTTAGCCCCTTGGGCCTCTACCCGAGCTATCTTTTTGTCAAGTGTTTTAAGTCCGGATTATAACTTCCTGTTTCTATTAGCATGAATTGTTATTCATGCAGTTCCTTGGATGGTACGAAAGGAACGAGACTCTGTATATCGCGATGGAATATATTGAGATGGGCGACCTCAGGAAGCACATTAGTAAACCGCTGCCGGAAAAGACCGTTCAGCTAATTACAAATCAACTACTCGAGGGTCTGAAAGTCATGCATGAGAAAGGGATTGCTCATCGGGACCTTAAGCCAGAGGTAGGACTGCTACCTGCCAAGCGCCCACAGAGAGTAAGCCCTGTCAGAGGGTTCAAGCTGACGGACAAGTCCAGAACATCTTTGTTGTTTCCAGATCGCCTATCCGGGTCAAGCTGGGAGATTTCGGCATATCAAAACGGATCCGAGCTCAGGACCTCACGACTTACCGCACTCAGTTCTGTACTCGGTCCTACGCAGCCCCAGAGGTTCTGGGAGTAGACCCCAATAGCGAGACCTCGGTATACACAAAGGCCGTTGATATTTGGTCACTCGGATGCGTGGTGTATGAGCTACTTGTAGGAGAAAAATTATTCGGTCCGGAGGGCCTAATACACTCTTATTTCCACGGGCGATGGTCCTTCCCCAAAGCTAAACTCAAAAACCTAACCCCACCAACAAACGATGCCGGCATCTCGCTGATTGAATCCATGATTTCATTACAACCGGATGGTCGCCCCAGTGCTATCGAGGCCTTAGACCACATATGGATAGCAGACCTTAAGAGCGAAACCAACGACGAAGATAGGTACGATTGCAACGAGAAGGTAGCGCAAATCCCAGTCAATGATGAGGGCATAGGAGGTATTGAGGTGGAAAAAGAGCTCTCTACAACAGCCATGAAAATGGAGCAATTGGACCTAGTTGAATTGTACCGACTCGAGACAGAACCCCTCCCAAATAATGTCCCCCATACAGAGCATTCGGGGAATTCAGAGCCCAGGACGGAGGAGGTAAATGAGAAGTGGCGCAACTGTGAGGTTCTCGGGGAGGGAGGCTTCAGTGTTATCCATAAGCAGCTCCAAAGCAGTACAGGCCACTTTCGTGCAGTAAAAGTGATTGACAAGACCAAACTGCCGGCTCAGCTCGACCATTCCAGGGAACCACTAGTGATGGCTGTTTTAGCTAAGGTTCGCAACCTTAGCCCCAGGTGTCTTCAAACATCACTATATATTTTCACGTACTAATTTTTCACTGCTGTTAGCACCCGTCGTTGTTTGTGGAGTTCCTTGGATGGTTCGAAGATCCCAATACCTTGTATATCGCAATGGAGTATCTCGAGATGGGCGACCTCAGGAGGTACATGGGTAAACCGTTGCCGCAAAAGACTGTCCAGGAGATTGCCAAGCAACTACTCACGGGTTTGGACGTCATGCATCAGAAGGGGATTGCGCATCGGGATATTAAACCAGAGGTACAACTTCCATCCACTCTCAACACTCACGAACACGCAGTCTTACTAGAGCAATCAAACTAATGAAAAGCAAAGAAAATTTTCGTTGTCTCCATGTCCCCTGCCCGAGTCAAGTTGGGGGGGTTCAGCCTGTCAAAACAGGTCCAAGACGGCGACCTCACGACCTACCACACTCGGTTCTTCGTTGGATCCTACACAGCGCCAGAGGTTCTGGGACTGAACCTTGTTAGTGAGACGCCAGGATACACAAATGCCGTCGACACTTGGTCAATCGGATGCGTTATATACGAGCTACTTACGGGAGAGATCTTGTTTTCCACTGCGAAACAAATATCCAGGTACTTCATCGGCAAATGCGGCTTCCCCGACGACAGACTCAAGAGTTTATCCCCTCCGATCAATGACACGGGGATCTCGTTGATCAATTCCATGGTTTCATTGCAGCCGGGTGCTCGCCCCAGTGCACTCGATGCCCTGAACGACAAGTGGATAACTGACCTTATGAGTGAGCTTGAAGATGGAGGTGGCGAAGGTGGTGGAGGTAGTAGAGGTAGTAGAGGTGGTGAAGGTGGTGAATTTAACAATGGAAGAGTGGTGATAGGCGACAGAAACGGCGAGCGAAATAATGGACAAGAGACAGGACAGAACTCGCTCAGAACCGGTCTTGAGACCCTAATACATCACGCTCCCCCGATTCCTTACCCAGGAGTTCCGTTGCTGCCGGAGCCTCGAGGCAAAGGCTCAAAACCCTTGCTCCACAAATGGTTGGCCCATATAGCGAGTTTTTGGAAAGGTCGAGACTCCCGGAAGGCCTCTAAGGATGAAAAACGCAACGAGCCAAGAATGTAAAAATTCCCCGAACCCCCTAACCCATATAAAACCCCATATATGAGAACCCCTCGCTAACCACTTAACCCCCCAATAGCGGTTCCAAGAAGCGGGACTGGGGCATCAAACTTGGTTTCCCGCGAGGGCAAAAGGTCAAGTCACCAGATGTATGATATATAGTATGATATCATACAGGATTTCGGAGCACGCCACCCCAAGGATGGCCGCCCTTGGCCGCCGGAAGGAGGTTGGGGTCCATATTGAGCCTATCGGCTTTCCAGAGTGCGGGGGCAGTAACCAGCTATTACATGGCCACACTCCATTACTAGTAGCATTTTTTGCACGGGGTATCCCCTCCTGGTATAGAATCACATAATATTAATTCGTGATCCACCCCAGATAAGGGCATCTACCTATATATACCAGAGGATATTTCCTGTGGTTTTATTTCCTTAGTGGAAGCTTTAAATGCAGTCTCTCAGCCGTTGATATTACACTACCCAACGCCGCAAGTCTATTGATACAGTGAATTAAACAGGGTATTCCCAAGCCCCCCGGCTAACGCCCGCTAAAGCAGCCGGCGTGTTGCGCATATATATGCCAATCTATACTATAGAGTCCGGACATAGAAGAAACCAATTCACAAAGTAACTACAATCACCGACTATCGTCATATCCCTTTCTTTTGCTAAAAGGGGCTTCTGCCCAACCCCCCACCCCTGCGCCAGCTTCAGCGCCGCCAACCTCCACCTATTTTCCTCCACCTTTTTCCCTTCAAACCTCTAACCCAATTGACTAAAAATATTGTACCTAGGAGTGGCTAATTTTCACATTCCACCCATACCTGCATAAATGGCACAAGCCAGACCTCGCTTCAAGTCTTTCCTCGTAACATCTTTTCAACAATTTCCCGCGTTGCACAATCATAGACCGAGAATGGGGTACTTGGGGGTTGGCTGTCTACTGTGCCAGGGGTTTTCAAAGAGAAAGAAGCTCGAAAAACCAGTACTTTGTTTCGTTTAATTCCCTGTTTCATGAAAAACTTAGCGCATACAAAAACAGTTGACTTGCCTTATATGATACTAGCCCTTTTTTTTTTGGTTAGATATGGAGGCCGAGAGGTCCGTAACAAGCATAGAACCCTGGCGGCGGAACTCTACTAGAACTCAAAAGAGGTACATGAAGCGAAGAGGCCGAAAAAAATCGGGAAAAATATGAAGGTACTACAACCCACACCAAAAGTAATTATCCACTATCCCTGCAATAATCTACTCGGTTTTGAGATTTCTTTGATAGCCATTCAGATTTTTCCCGGATGCGTGAGATCCGTGCACTTTACCTACAATTACCTTGGTGAACTCGAATACGCCACCAGAAGGGTGGGGGTGTTATTGGCTAAAACGATAGAGTAACCTAATGCACCTCCCGGTGCTTACTCGTCACTGGAAAAGAACCCTATTAACTTTGAAAGCCCCTACTACGGCCACTACCAGAGCTATCACGATTTTCCCTAATCCGTGAACGCTAGGATATCGAGGGCTATAATGGTTAAGGGGCCCCTACTTCTGGCGCATCCGCTTTGGATAGAGCACCCAGTCCTCGGAGTAAACGAGGATGCATCTATCGTAGGGAAAGGAGCATGTAGCTTTGTGTAGCCGGAGAAAGAGAAAAGAATACTGTTTGGCTACTGTATGCAAAAGAGTGGGTTTATATCCCCGAGCCACGAAAAGTAGAAAAACTAAAAGAAAGTTGATCCAGGAACGATCAGGGGGCTCGGGAGCCAAGGAAACAAAGGGGCTACATACTGATTCCAACAATGAGAAAAGAGCATATTATACTTCGGTATGGTGTGGTCGTGGAAGGAGGAATGGAGAAGAGATGAGAAATAGCCAAGTGTAGCCTAATGACAAAAGGGATAGTGAAGGAAAGACTAATAGTGAAATAAACTAATTCGAAAAGAGACTAGTACCAAGTCGGATTAAAAAATGTCCAAAAGTTCGAGTGACGGTTGGTGAAGTGGACTACTTTCAAATTGGGTCGCAACTTGGGGTACTAGCGCGGCCGGGTTGAGGCTGGAAACCGGAGACAGAAATTAACATGCAAAGTGTCTGCCCTCGGCTCGGCCGTGCGAATTTACGGGACGTACCGACCCTGTGGGACTGGGGCCGACGACGGAATCATACTGTATCCGCTCGAAACTGAAAGAGCGCGTCAGTGTTTTGAAACTACCACCCTAGCCATGTGGTGTTTGTGAGTCTGAAGTTGTTGAAGATCGGGCCGCACAGAAATGGGGGATCCAAGGCAAAAACACAGTGATAATAGGAGGAGAGTATTCCAAGGGAGGCTGGAAACCCGATTCACTTATCAAGTGTATCAGGAATCCTACTTACCTCTGCAAGAGGGTCCCCATATATTGAGACAAGATCCGACCGGTGCAGATCACAGTCAGAGGTAAAAGCCTATTGGCAATTCAGGACACAGGGGTCCGAGCAGCGCACAAATTTGTATGAGCAACTGGGTCAGAGTTTGGACTTATCGGCAGATCGCTGAGCTTGATGAATAGCATTTTTGAGTATGATATAGCTGAAGGCCGAGTACTACGCGTTACCGGGGGTTAAGGCTAAGGGAGGTAACCTGTTCTCTTGGTTCCTGAGTCACCCGGCCAACGAGAGTGTAGGTTTCTGAGCTTTTTTGCGTTCGCCGGACTTTTCCCCCCCTAGTATACACGACTAGGGCAGAAAAGTAAGCAGCGGAAAAGCTGACACTTCCCGTAGCTTCACTTACCGGTGAATCTCTCCAGCTGGGACAAAGTCACCAGTCTTCTTTCAATTCTTTACGAAAAGGTAACTTCCGGTGCAAATATTTACTGCTCCAGCAGTCCAAGCCTTTGCCGCTGGTCGATTGCAGTACTATACAGATGAGAATATAAAATTCAGAACACCACCAAGACCTATCCCGGGGTATATGTAACAGAAAACAGGTAGCGAAGAGACATATGGTAAAAATATGAGCGTATCTGAGCATCGATACAGAACATACTCCCTATCCTCGGGGGGCCCATGGTGTAGGGCATTTAAATATTAGTGTCAGAGTTGAGCACTCTACTTGCACTGCGCTCAACACGGCAACCCTCTCCTATGACGCTAAGAGCTTAAAACTTGAGCTCGGCTCAAAATAGCAGAACTTTACAGGATCTTATTCAAGGCAAAGAAAATGGTGATAGCGTTTGTGCTTTCGGGATGGTGCCTACTAGCTTAACATATATACAGCTATTTCCAGAGCCCGGAATACAAACAAAAATGAAGCAGGGGAAGGCTCTTCAGTCGAGGACTCTAAATTTCAAAGAGACTGATGGGAAGAGCTGGGAAGAATCTGTGAGATAAGTATTAGAAGAAAAAGACTAAACACGGCTGGCTGAATTGACAAAGTGTCCGAAGATACGATAACGGAGGCCATGTCTCAGCCTCGGTAATATTTAAAGATGTTACCACAACACAATAAAGTCAAGATGACTACTACCCGAGTCTAAAGTCCAAGTGCACTAGTGAATGGAGCAATGGTGCGTTATCATACATATTAATCTATATCAAACACCAGAAGAATAATATATGATCCCGTTTTTCTTTTTCCGGCGCCGGTCAGTATCACCTTGAACTTTGTAGCTCGAATCCTTAGACGAGATCCCCCTCCCTCCCCCCTTCCCCCCGACAATCCAGCTAGTGGCGGTGGTGACTTAATTACTACCGTATTTCGATTATTTTAGTACTAGCTTCTCCCCACTAAGCAGTTAACCGTTATGGTATTCTGGTGGCCCAGCATCGAACACGGGTTGAGCGAATCCACGCACGGAAAATCCCACACAATCGTCCAGTTCTGTGGGGTCACAACCTTCCCTTGAAGCGTATGAAGAAATCTGCCCAATAAATTTTTTTTGGAAATAGCACCCCGCTATGCCGGATGGCCAAATTTTGGGAATTTCATCTGATACAGCGGGAGGTCTGGAACGATTGGGTGAGAGAAAGATCACACTACCGGTACAGTCAAACCTCGCTGTCCCGTATGAAGTTCCGCGAACTACAAAGGTTTTCCACATCAAAACTTGACCCGTTGTCCCGGACACCCACTTTATTTCTTCAGCCACGGGCTTTACCTCTCCTGCCCGGGGGACCGACCAATCCGAACCCATACCGTGGTGTCGAGAGGAGTAAGAAACTACTGTAAGTTGGGGGTGGGGGGTTAGGAAACTAGCGACTTTCGACAGAACGACACTATAATACAACCTCCGGGAGCTTATTCAGTGGGCGTGCTCGTAACATACCGCTCAAGTCCGTCTTCCCTTTCGGCGCTACCAGAAGCAGGAATTATATACGCCTGGACCCAATAATTCATGGTTTCGTGCGGTGCTGACAGCCCATAATGTTAGGAATGGTCTCTCCCCCATCCTCCACCACCCCCCCGGAAACCTGCCTTTGCCCTCTAGACTAGGTTTAGCTGGTTAAGTTTCTATAGAACGCGGAGAGCTTTACAAAAATATCATATAGAATCCGAAAACCCGCTTGTCCCGTTCAGCGAGTGAAAAATCCCGTGAGAATCCAGAAGAGTCAATGGCTTTGCCCGGCTCAACGAGGTGTCCGGCCCAGTGGTACACAGGTAGTGGGATACGATTGTATTATATTCCTACGAGAGGACGGGCTTTATGGTGGGGTAGCCGCGGCACCTGGAACGAGCACACAATAATAATAGGACCGGCGGATACTGAATGCCTCCCCGTACTCGAGTAGACGTCTAGAACAAGTTTCCTAGGCTTTTACTAGCTGCATCGCCGCGCCGAAAGACTACTGTTTCACGAATAGAAATTGCGTCAGGATGTTGAAGGGTTGTCGAACGAGTTCGTACGCGTGGGGAGTGTTATGATACCGGTACGGTACAGGTAGTGGTGGGGTTGCAGACTGAACCCCAAAACCGAGTTGGTCCACCTGCCCAAGCGGGTACCGGTAGTTTAACCATTTTCTACTGGTCCAAGTACTCGAGTACAGTACATGCCACAACTGACAAGGCAACCGCATTTTTCCCTGTTCCAGTTTAACCCCCTATGGGCTGCCACGCTCACGATCAAGGTGGGAAGTGGATCACACTGGTGTGGACGGTTGTTTAGATAGGCAACAGCCAGAAAAGGATCAGAATGGTACTTCGCACCCAACTTATTGACTAGCGATCGTTGGCTGGCTGGTCCAGTTGTGCATAGCATGTACGGTACGGTATCATACTAGTAATTTATCTTCAATACCTTCTCCGGCATACCGGTACGGTACTCGAGTACGTGTTCAGTGAATTCAGCCCGAGGCGGAGCAGGCTGCTGCGTGGGATACAGTGCGAGCTCTGCCAACAATCGACACGAAACGAGAACTGTGAGGCTGTGCTGCGCTGTGCGAGTAACGGTACAGTACTTAAGTAAGCTGATCACTTAACCCTTGCTTCCCCCACTTCAACCGCCGCTACGAAACCTAACCAAGGCCACCCTAAACTGCGTTCGCCAAACCTACTCGAAATAAGCGGAACCTCCCCCCTGCCAGCCATGAAAACAGTGAGATCAGACCTGGTCGATTCGTATCGGCTCGAGACAGAATTCCTCCCAAATTGTGTCCGTCATACAAATTATTCGACGTCCAGGAGAAAGGAAACAAAGGAGGAGTGGAGCGTCTGTGAGCACCTCGGTAGGGGGAGTTCCAGCGTTGTCTACAAGCAGGTCGAAAGCAGTACAGGAAACTGTCGTGCGTTAAAAGTGATTGATAAGACCAGGCTGCCTGCCGGGCTCGATTATTCCAGGGAATTAACAGTGATGGCTGTTTTAGCAAAGGTTCAACCCCTTGACCCTGTAATGTTCACTCGCTAATGTTCCATTACTTTTTAGCACTCGTTGCTGTTTGTCAAATTCCTTGGATGGTTCGAAGATCCCGGTACTTTGTATATCGCAATGGAATATCTGGAGATGGGCGACCTCAGGAAGCATATTAGCGAGCCGCTGCCACAAGAGACTGTGCAAAGAATCACCAAGCAACTTCTCGACGGTTTGGACGTCATGCATCAGCGTGGGATTGCGCATCGGGATCTCAAGCCAGAGGTACTACCCTTATCCAGCTTACTGATTCCCGGGACCAAGTCCCACCAGAATATCCAACCTGACGAAAAATTCGTAGAATATCTTCGTTGTTAAAATGGCCCCAATTTGGGTCAAGCTCGGGGATTTCGGTATATCGAAACGGACCCAGGGCGAAACTCGTACGGTTCTCCACACCACGGTCGGAACTCGAATCTACTCAGCCCCAGAGGTTCTAGGACTAGACTCCACCAGCGAGACATCGGAATACACAAACGCCGTTGATATTTGGTCGCTCGGATGTGTTGTATACGAGCTACTTACGGGGGAAAAGCTATTTGCTAATGAGGGCCTAATATCTTGGTACTTCTTTGGTAAATCCCCCTTCCCTGAGCGTAAGCTCAAAAGTTTATCGCCTGGGATAAACGATGCCGGCATCTCGTTGATTAAATCCATGGTTTCAATCCAACCGGATCATCGCCCCAGCGTGCCAGATTCGCTGGGCCACACATGGATAGCAGACCTTCAGAGCGACACCGAGGACGATGGCGAAAGCAGCGGGGAGGATCAAAACAAGGTATGGCAACCCAACTCGAGCACATGGCCCACTATGCCGAAGACCAATCCTCGCAATACCAAGCCACAAACCCGGGCCAAGACTATGGTATCAAGGGGGGACACCCCCGCAGTGAAGGGTAACTCAAAAAAATCTTCAAAAGTGACTAAATTTGTTTCAAGATTTTTCAAAAGCTCGCCCAAACCCTCTCCGCAGGACAGCAATCAGAGTTTACCGTCAGCCCCAAGGAGAGTCAATCACCCCGGTGAACACAACTCATCATCAGAGAGCTTTACAGAGTCTTCAGTTCTTCCGCGACGCCAGGCTTATCCTAAACTCGCTAGCACGCAAAAGACAACGAACCACCTACACCGGCCTTCATGGTCCTCTTCTCTAAGCTCAGGAGGTGAGGGGAAGAAGCCGAAAGCCCTTAAACGGGGAGACTCAACCCGCGATGGGGTGTCTGTGGAAGCCCCTAACAGCTTTCCTCGGTATCAAACACCCAGGTAAAGCTGACCCTCTGAAACCATCTCTTGGCGAGAACCCAGACCTAACACTTGGCTCAAACGCAGTGAACGGCATTCACAGAACCTCACCCCAGGTCGAGATTCCATTCCAAATCCTGCGTCACCGACCTGGCCGCCGGATGATCCGGCGAATGAAACACCAATGCCCTATCCGCCCCGTAGGCGAGAGACACTTTACAGAGATATCGCTAGAGATACTTTGGAAGACGATTTCACCGTTAGGCGGCCCGACGATCCGGAATCATCTGATCTTAGCGCCGACGAACTGGGCCAGCCGTGGGCCCTCCCACAGGGTCACAGGCGCAGGCGAACACCTGGCAGCGAAGCAAGGAGCCTGGAAGTGAGTGATCAGGAGTCCTCAAACCCAGCCCCCAGAGCACGCCCTTCCTGGGAAACACCGGGGCCAATCAGGAGGTCTTCCACAAACCACACAAGACCCCCGATATCCACCCAATTGGACAGGCGTCCTAGCTTATCCCGGAAGAATAGCTCGGGCTCTATAGACAGCTTGTTTGCAGAACTCTCTGTGCCATTTGGCCGCCCTGACACTGCTCCGACCGATCCACCGGAGCCCATTGCGAGTGGAGGGAGAAATAGCTTCAATACATTTGACTCGTATTTGGCGGGGAATTTGCAGGCAATATACGACGTGACGGACCACGACCTGAGGCGAAAAATACAGAGCGTCTCATTCACGCCCCGCTTCGACACCAATTAGGGAGTATCTGGCTCCTCAATAGTGTGAGGCAGGGGCGGGGTCGGTGTATAGGATCTCGCATTGAGGTGAAGAGTTGGAGGCCTGCGATTAATATCCCCAAGGTTGTCGAGGGATCTGCATGCCGTGTCTATGTAGACATCTATAGGGAAAATGTATAGAGACAGGTGTATTATGGAGATATAGTTCTTTTGACTTTTGCGTTGCATTTTTCAGCATTATTATTCATTTGTTTATTTACGATACCTGTTCAAACGTCGGAGTATGGCTTTTCTGGGGGTCGAGAGTCTGTTGGTCTATGCGGGGAACGAAATTAAGATTGCCCATCACACCGTACTACAACATGAACTAGGAAGAGGCTCGTGGAAACTTTTCGTTTTTGTTTCGACTTGGGGCGGAGTAGCATACTGTTGTGATGTGGAGCATGGACCGTGCCGGAGGTGGAGGAGAGATGATCGTTGATGCTAGACGAAGAAAGAGAGAAAGCTATCTAAGAAGGAAAACATGAATGCCAACACCCAAAACAGGAATGCCCTGAACCCAACCAAGCCAAACCCCATACATGACCCAAGTGAGTATCCGTATATCCTCACGTAACTAACACATACGGGGGGTTCTTTAGATGCATTCTGGCTAGCCGAAACAACTCGTGGCCTCCAAACATCTAACCACACTCCCACATACCTAGTAGTATATCTATCATAAAGCTACTCGTAATGTCGAAGTGTTCTCAGAAAGGACACCTACTGCATACCATCAAAATTTGGCTCTTTTGTCTATATCTAAGTAGGCAATAGCGCTGCTTTTTGGAAAGCTTTGACACACGGGCTATCAGCTACAGTAGAGCTCAAAGCCCCCCCCACAGGAGTTGTTTCAAATGTAATATCGTTGAAAACGGGAGAGTATCCACTCAGATCAGGCCCGAGCCGGGCGACCAAAGTATAGGAGTCCTGCACGGCACGGTACTGTACGTGTACTGTACAGCCCTCTCCGGAAAATCCCTCGTGGGGCCCAGCTATGATGAACCGTACAACACGGGGAACCTTGTTAGTAGCGGTTCAGTGGCTACAATATCAGCCCGCAGGGGGGGGCTTCGCCAACCACGCCCATCAACACGAAACGAAAGCCAGTGGATCTGACCGCTCAACAGGATCCCCACTTAGTTTGACCACTTGCCTCCAATAAACTCTGCACAAACCACTCAAGCAACCTGCCTCAACCCATAGTTCGTATGGTGAGTTGGAGTGGATGGTGCGGTGCAGCATCCGTAACTTTCCGACGTTTGTGAACTTGACTGCTATTGCGTGGCATCAAAATATTGAGGCTCCTTCCGATTTTTTGACCGTACACCATAGTCCAACGGCGGCAGGCGTTCCCATAAATGCCAGAATACGATGATCAGGGGTGGTGTACTGTATGGTGCAGTACGACACTAGTGACAAAATTCGTGGCCCCCCCTTGACAAAAAATGTTAAAATTCCTCGGAGCCTTCAGAGCCATCTAGATATTCTCACTCATATGTGACAAGCTCTGTTGATTTGTTTCCGTGGTTCAATAACGGTAATAATGATGGCAGGCAAAAGGCGCTTCTGATTTTATATGAGGTTCTCGTACAGAAGTTACATTGGAAACACAATCCAGGCTAAGCTTTAAGCCCCCCCCCCCCCTAGTAGAGTGGGGAAATCCTCCTAATTTCTGCCTAGAAGGTCTACGGAATTCCCTACATTATGGTATTTATATCATTAATTCTACACTACTCTAAGGCAAGTTGGGGGTGCCTAAAATCAGCCATATTTAGTATAAAATGGGGGGGGCACGAATTTTATCACCAAGATGGCACAGTACGGTACCCAAGCCGCAGAATTGTAGCCATCTTTTGCTTTCCCTTTTTTCTTCCTCCCCTCAGTATCATATCATAAGTTAAAGCACCAACAAAACCCAACCCAATCCAGCAACTTGAGCGCTAATGGAGGTATAGAAGTACCGGTAATTAAAGTTTTTTTTTGTTTTTTTTGGCTTTGTGAGAGTATTTGAATTATCAACAGTGTCGACTGAAGATCACCGCTACGACTTCAATAATTTGAGGTTAGCTTGTCCAGCATTGAACATCCCAGAGGCAACAATGGCACCATAGAGGAATTGTGCCCCAAAACAATTGGGGGATTTAATAAACAAAAAAATAAAAGGCTCCCTCTCGTGTGCGAAAGAAGCCAATCCGCTCTATGGGCACCTGAAACTTCATTGCAGAGTTGCTCAGCCGCATACTACGAGTGCGCACCGCTCCACGACCCCGCCGGTCCCCACGCGAGCGATAGTTGGCAGCCACATTCTCCTCTGCGAGACAGGGATCCAGTAGCCAATCCCAAAAGTATTTGGGAGTCTTAATATAATTCCTCCCCAGAATTGGCCGGGCGGCGCCCACCTTGGCATCTGTTTCCGAGCCGTGTTGTTTCCCAACAATCCAATGTAACCTACGAGCTGTCTGCTATCATACAACCCGCTCCTCCGCTAGGAAGAATGCCCGTACCGCAACACCAATCTTTATTGGATTGCCAGGCGAGATTATCCTCCTCATATCCTAGCAGCTAGGTTCCAATGACCAGAACCTCCTGAGGGCAACCCGTCAATCAACAAATCTGCTGATTGATTCATTTACTCGTCGACAAAATATCCACGGTGCGGGCAGAGAAATACTAATCGCACCTCATATATTCCACAACAGTCTATAAGGGCTCTCCAACGGCCGGGTTACTCATCGCCAGAGACATCCTCGAGTCTGTGGTATCCCTATGATAGAAAGGTTCGATACCATCTCCCGGCAGAGAATGGAGGTTATCCAAACACTTCTATACAAGGACGTCAGTCTACGCAGCCCAGCAGATCCCGACAATAGCGGGGCAGCGAGTCTTCTGTACGTGGATACCAGAGAGAGGCGTTTAGAAATTTTGCAAAGGCTGCTAGAGCGAGAGGATACAGGCATCAATATCTTTGACCCGCAGAATTCGGTGCTGTTTTTTTCCCGGAGCCCAGTTCGCGCTTGACTACCTTACAGCACAGGCTCTGCTAGCGGCCCCCAGGACCGACGTTAGCGTTCTCAGCCCCCACCGGCACACCGCTCCGTGGGCGGTGCATAGGGGAAGCACGTAGACTTTGAACGCATTGATCAATGACACAAGGCTTGATGTCAATCTCTCGGAAACCTGGGGGGCCACGCTGCTGTCCCCGTTACGGGAAACTGGCCAGTGCGGCCGCTACCGTACCATCCTGGGGCTGATGCTCCGCGCCGTTTGCATTAACGTCCGATACTGGAACAAGAAAAATTCAGGGATAAGTCATATAAACCGGGAATTCTAGGATAACGACCCAGTGCAGGCACATTGTTCACACTGTGGCCTGGTATGATTAATCCCGAGTTTAACGTGGGGAGTGTCTGAACCGGGTTCTGGGTGGCTATATTGGAACTATTAATATTAGAACATTCGAACGTTACTGCAAGGCTATCACACCATACCACCCCTATTCTTGAGGGCAATACAAATCATGAACCCCGACTCATATCACCAGATTAAAGCTACTTTCTTTGCGGTGGTAGTGTGATCTCAATCCGGCGACATGAGTGCTCTTCAACAGCAGCATATCCCCACCCACATAATAATATAGCCAACACGAATCAAACCTAGTCAATTACCCAAGACGGAAACTTAGCCTCGAATCCTAAGCAATTCTATGAACCCCTCTCTATGCATACCAAAAACCAAACACCATGAAGAAAAACAAAAACAAAATCGAACACTCCCAGTATCTATACAGCGTCCACGGGGCCCCTCCAATATCCTCCCAACAACCGCTTCCCTCTCTAACTTCCTTGCCCGGCCCACCCCTCCGCCGCACCTCCACCATAGCCCCCGCATCAACCAACGTATCCACATGTCCGGCGGACCACACACACCACCACTTAACTGCACATAACAGCAATGGCGTATTACCTTCGGTGTCAAGACGATTTCACATCTGCCCTCAACCACCCAATCGACCCCTTAACATCCTTCACCAGTCCACACTTCGCAGCGCGCATCAATGGTGTTTGACTGTTTCTCGCCGCGGGCATCTACGACCGCGTCCACGGTAACCAACCCCTCCATTACCCCTGCACACTCGAATTTCGCCGTAGATGTCCACGGTGTTGGCCTCGGGTTCATATGCTAGCAAGGTATCTACCAGTTCTGGATTCCCACTTTGGACGGCCGAGTGAAGTGCCAACTAGGGTGGTAGGGTCCTTGGGTGGAATTTTGCGGCCTGGGTATGGTCGCCGAGGGCCACATAGTGTAGGGATGTCTAGCCGTGGCCATCCCGTGCGGGCATGTCAGCGCCCCGGGAGAGGGGGTAGGTTGCTATCATACCGTATTGCGCAGTACTAATTGTAGTTAGCATCTTGTAGAGGTGGCGATTTGTGCGGAGGAAGATGTGTGGGGGTTTGGGCGGGAGAGCTTCGCCGATGCAGAGAGGAGGGGGAGGAATTCGTTTGGAAGGGATGGTAAAGGCATTGCTATCATATCCGGTCACTTTTCGTTCTCCCCCCATTTCCACATTAGCTCTGCCTTGGCCCCCGATCCCGATTTCACTTTTATTCTTCCTTATCTCCCAGTGTAACAGAGATTCCCTGGCAGCACTGCAATCTATTTACCTAAGTTTATAATACATTTTAGCCCGACAGATATCACTCCAAACACAAAACGCCATTGCTTCAACCCTCAGCGGGGGAGCCGAAGCACTCTATCCATAGTCCATTCACCATCCAGCTCAGCTCACCCCATTCTCCCCTCCCCCCACCACTCCCCATCCAAAAGTGTTTCTATCACACTGTAGAATGGCATGACATCAGCCAAGAATGTGTGGGTAAGAAAAAAGACAACAAATTGATCTTCTCCTCACGAACCTAAGTTCCCTGTTTCTAAAAAAAAAAATGTTATGATACCGTAAAGACACTCGAAATCCACTGTTAGATAATCAGTAGAAATCAGCCCGTCGACCCACTATAAATCCAGTTAGACAGGTTAACAGAATTACGAACACCGTGCAAATTACAACGTGATCCACCACGTGCAGCTGGATGATGATTGTATCGGGAAAAACGCTAATCCCTCTTTGGAGGCTTTTGTAATAGTCTATCTAACCCTCCACCCCGACTACAGGTTAGCGGAGATACCGGTAGTGGATCTGCACACCCGCAGCGAACCCCCGGACCAGCTAACACCACTATATCGGCTCGATATCACGAGCAGGATATCAGGTCGTCTAGTTCCGAAATGGTATTCCGAAAGAATTTTCCAAGCCAGTACTCGTTATCCTAGGTAGGGAAACATTGAACTTTTACGAGAACTCCGTCATCCGGAGAGCATTGGCCGAGTTCACAAAGTTGTTCCGTCATACGGTACCTGTAGTCCCCCACAATATATATATATATCACGACCAGTCCTGGGTAAGTACGACAATCCGTGCGGTGGGTGCCGTTACGCAAGAAGTCAA